GCTGCTGGTTTTTCGAGGTTCGTTGATCATTATGATCTCCCGATCATCAACACATCATCACAACACGAAAAATATAATTTACAAAATTACATAATCCGATCCTAAATCCAACAAATGGATGTACATGTTTTCTAAACAAATAATTAAATCTATCCGGTCAACCCCCAGGCGAATAATTATTACAAACATTCATCCATAAATCCTCGACATGTCTGAGGCTTTAAAAACAAATTTAAAACCATACATCACATTCAACAACATTCATCAAACACATAATCGGTCATAATAGTGGATTAAACTAATTCCTGCAAAATCGAGTCATGCGAATATAATCCAATATATATGGCTGCGTTTGCACACATCTTGACAAATATTGCCGTAAAAATTCAAACTTTGTACAAAACGAATTAACCAAGTGCTCTGATACCACTTGTTGGGATCTTTGAGGATCTCGTTATGTACAAATTACGAATTCAATAACAAACGTAAACCTATGCACAGCGGATCTAAAGATTTGACGTAGGAAACTTACGGCTCAAGATTTGACAGATTTGGGTTGATCGAGAGCAGCACACGAATGGATGGCGGGATCGGATCAATCATGTGGCGCGTGAATCGTCAGTTAGGTCGCGGCGATCGGTGGTGGAGTGTGTCGCGACGTGGGGCTGCCGGCGGCGGCCGGTTCGTCGCGGCGGCGCTCAGGCTAGTCGGGGTCGGCGAACTCGCCCTTCATGTCGTGGTTCGTCGGCTCCAATTGGTCTACCAGGTTGATGAATATATGTCTCAGTTACCTCTAGATCTTCTACTGTATAAGTCGTACACCTCTTCAACTTGTATCGGTGGAGCAACAAGAAGAATATAAAGCTCGAATAGAAAATTGAGATAGAAGAGAGAGAGAGACGTCGGGCGTGTTTGTATATATAGAGCTACAGTAAGGACCCTTAGGAGATTAGGCTTACTACTAACTGGGCCATAATAGAACATAACCCATTACATTAAAAATATAATAACTTAAAATAAGGTGGGCCGATTAACACAAAAGCCCACATTTGATTAACTTCAACTAGCAGCCTTCACTTCTTCGACCCAATTAATTCTACCTTTGGCCCAACTTCGGTTTTGATCTGCGGAGTATCATCCCCGTCGTTCATTTTCCCAAATATCCTTTATCTTCCAGAACTCCGGTCATTACATCTCCCCCCCCCCCCCCTTTTCAGATCCTTGTCCGCAAGGATCAAAGTCTGCAAATTTTGATACTATATATGATCTGTCTTCCCAAGTAGGTTTGATTACTCCCGCTTCACTCCACTCCACCAAAACTTGTTCCACTTCAACCCCATTTCGATTCACAGTCCTCCAGTCTGCGACCTTCAAAGGTTCAAGTTTAAAGATGTCGTCTTAGGTGATTTTCGGCAACTTTAGTGATGGTAAGTTCCCTTCTTTAATCTTCTTCTTTAGTAAAGACACATGAAAGACTGGATGGACCTGAGAGTCCCCCGATAATTCCAGTTTATAAGCAACCTCACCAATCTTTTCAATTACCTTGTAAGGGCAAAGTACCGTGAACAAAGCTTTAAGCTTTTGCGCAAATGGATCGTGTTCTGGCGGTAGGTTGAAGCTTCAGGTACACTTCATCCCAAACCTCAAATTTCCTCCTAAATCTTTTGTTGTCTGCATACAGTTTCATTCGGTCTTGTGCTTGTCTGAGGTTTTCCTTGATTTGCC